TGTAAGTCAATTCATGAACCAACTTACTGATGTTTATATGAATATGGTATATCGGATCTTAAGATACCTTAAGAAGATTTCAGGACAAGAACTATTTTTCCAGAAAACAATGAACAAAAATATTGAAATCTACACAGATGCTGATTGGGCGGGTTATAGAACTGACATAAGATCTACTTTTGGGTACTGTACTTACATTTGAGAAAACTTAGTCACTTGGCGGAGTAAAAAACAATCTGTTGTCTCACGAAATAGTGCAGAAGCTGAATTTCGGTCCCTTGCTCATGGAATATATGAGGGAATTTGGTTAAAAAGAGTTCCAATGGAAATGAAATTCTCGGTTACTACTCCCATGAAAGTATGGTGCGACAATCAATCAACAATCAACATAGCTAAAAATCCTATACATCATGATCGAACTAAACACGTGGAGATAGATAGACACTTCATTAGGGAGAAGATTGAAGATCAAACCATTACAATACTCCATGTTCCTACTAGTCAGTAAACTGCAGATATTTTAACAAAAACACTTCCCAAAGGACTTTTCAACGAATTGATATCCAATCTAGACTTACTAAGCATTTATATAACCTAGATTGAGGGGGAGTGTAGAATTACTTTAAGTGTTTTCCTTTTACTGTTTATTTTTTCCTTCATTGGCAACCTGGCATTGTAACAAAATGCTTCCTGCCATTTTCTGTTTTTTCCCTTCCACTAGGGAAGGTTGTTAGTTTTTGTTTTTTTCTCCTTCTTTTGCCTATAAAATGTGTCTGATCATCGATGAATAAAAATAGAATAAAAAAATAATTATTTCTTACTCTCAAATTCTTCAGATGAGTGACTCATCTGTTTCACAATAAGTGCCTCTACTGACCAAACATATAATAGTATTTCTTCAGATAATGTGCCTCTAGCCTTACTTGAGCAATTTGATAATAGTGTTAATGTGCCTTTGACCCAAGTACCACCACTAATTGTTCATGTTTATTTCAAAGGATAATAGATTAATGATATATATCTTGCACTAGGTCCGTACTCATCTGATTCTGTCTTACAGGATCTTGATCTTCCCATTGAATTTCATAAAGGTAAATGTCACTGCACCATTCCTAAGTCAATTTATTCAATTGCTAATTATACTTCATATGACCATCTGTTTTACTCGTCTACTTTCATTGCTTTTACAGATTTAATTTACATACCCAAAATAGTTAAAGAAATTTTTAATCATTATGGTTGGTATAATGTAATGCTTGAGGAGATAAATGTTCTCGATGAAAATGATACTTGCGATTTAGTGGATTTACCCTAAGGAAAAAGGTTTGTGGAGTGCAAATGAGTCTTTTGAGTGAAAATAAACCCAAATGACTTGGTAGCAAGATTTAAAACCAGACTTGTAGTAAAAGACTATGCTCAGACTTATGGAGTTGATTATTCTGATACATTTTCTCCAGTGGCCAAATTTACTTATGTTCATTTATTCATCTTTTGTTGCGGCATCTTAAAACTGTCCCTTACACCAG